GCGGTGGGGGCTAATTAGGAATTGAAAGGAAAGCAGCGATAGATGACGCGACCGTCACGGATATCGCGTTCGATCCTCGGTTCGCTTTTGCAGGCTGTAATACGAAAACATCTCGACTTATTCCTAATTGGCGGCGCGTATGGAATTTCAGTTGAGGACGATGGGGAGCGGGCGAGCGAGCTCCGAAGGCTGAAATTACATAGCGGCTGTTGCGTTCACGGTGCCAGGACTTTATCGGCGATAGATTAGACACGCCGATCCGTGGCCGCAGCTGTACCCATATAAAATTATGCCGCGAGCTGCGCGCCCCGTTCAAGGCCGACACCCTTTTTAACGTTTCATTTGCGCGGACCACTCGTAAACCTGAAGTTGCCGAGCGCAAACTAAAAGTTATAATTTCCACATCCTGCGGCCGGGTCTCGCTCGGCGATACGCGGCGCGCGCGGAGGGCCGTTCGTGCGACCGATATTCCGAGCAGCCTATTAAGCGATCAATACGGTTCACACACGTTGTTCTGGAAGTTCGGTCCTATTACGAATTTCGAACCGACCGGTCGCCTGCCCGAAAACCGAGAAATTCCCCGCTTTCCCTGTGAAGCTCGACTTTATAGGTGACGCGTTCTCCGGGCGGATTTTCGGTCTGGCTCTTATTCTCGTTGCGAATCGATACCGAGGACATCGGATTCCCTAGTTTGATGTCCGTATTTAGAGGTGACCTACTGTAAAATTCATTAATGGAAGCTCGAACTGTAGTTCATATATTTATAGCCAGTCTCAGCCGACGATTGTATTATAAATTCGACCGGGCCGTTTAAAGTCGCTCGCGTAAGAGAAAATGCGATCAAGCTTTTCGATCGATTTCCAAGCGAGCTTACGGCAGTATCGTTCCCGCTGTCACGCCCAGTTACTCGAATGTACTCCCCGTTGCTGTTTACATTTCGTAAACTTGAGATACTCGGCGTCGGTGTGTGATAACCCGGACGATTTACCAGCAAACTTCCGGACACCTGTGATTTGCGCCTGCAGTTATTCGGATGATATCGGGTCGTTGGTAGCTACGGTGCACCGGGGAGCCTCAGAATCGAAGTTGAGGCGGCGGCTAAGTTTCTAGGATTCGACGGCGAGGGCGGATCTCGCCGATCTCCGAGGATCCGTCGGTGACGACGATCGAATTCCGGGACCGGTGTACACGCTGATACATGGTCAGAGGGATCCCGTGGATCGCGATAAAGAATTTTTTACGAGATCGCAAGTCGTCCGTCCCTCCCCGCGCTCGAACCCGGCGACCTCCGCCGCCCCCGCCATCTGCGCGCTCGAATATCAAATCGAAAGATCGATAGTTCGCCGACCTTAGCTCGCCGAGCACTTCCTGTGTGTGTTTTACGAACGTCGTACCCCTGCCCGAAGGCGCAGCATATATCGCGTGTCGCGAATAATGCATCCAACTGAATATTACTATTCCGTAAATTCAAGGAAATTACGCCCGGTTGATCTCGATCTATCGCGCCGGCTATTTCGTGGGTGGGCTCGCGTGCGAACGCGAGGTGTGCAGCACCTCTTACCGTTGCGGTGTGTATCATCGATGCAGGCTCGATTGAACTCGACGTACGGGTTCGTTTCTTATGCGAACGGAAAACTTTTCGTTTCAAGTACTGTACACGCGTTTTTAGCAGTCGGTATACAAAATTGTCGCGTGCGTTCTACGACTGTAACATATAAATCTTTCAGGCTGTTCGCATCTTGTAGCATACTTGAATCTTCTGTATAGTTTCAAGTGACTCGTCCACCAGCGACGAAAGTAGACGAGTTCGAAATGAGTCAGAGAGAAGGTTAAGGTATAGTTTCAAAGGACCAGCGAGGTCGCGAATGGTCAAAGGTATAGGTACGTGCATACGTGTCTCAGGCATCTCGGAGTTAGAAACCTGATGGAAATCGTGATTTCGAGGGTTCTCGGGGAGGAACGGCCCTTCTATCTCATTTCCCCATCTTCCTTTACCCGACTTCTCCGCTCTTTCTTCCTTCGACGCCCTTTTACGGCTCGAAGCACACGCGAGGCACGTTCGATTCGGTCAGGTAAGGTTGGCCCCGTGTTTAGAGCGCATACACGCGCGCGCGCCGGACAGAGAGGGAACGAGCAAATTGAAGAACAGAAAGTATGTGCAATGGCCGAATGATCGCCGCGACCGCAATGGACTCGAAATCGCAACGTACGAGGACACGCGGCGTTGCCTAAATTGAATGCGACAAGAAACTGGCGGAGACCGGGGACGACTTCGTGAACGTTCACGGGATTCCAAAAGAAATAAGAAACAGCGTTAACTCCTCGTTACTTCGGCCGGAGTTCTTTGTTCCGCCGGGGGAATTTCTTTGCAGCTGCGGGTGTGTTTAGCCTCGGGAATGGCCTCTACTTCGGCTCGCTTCGCGAAGTTTCCTTTGGGACATTATAAAGCAGAATCTTCGCGAGTTAGCGGTAATTGACGGCACGACCGCAGTCGACTTTCCCATTCTAATTTACTCGGAACATTTCCATGCGTCGCAACTTGCCGCGAACTGCGTAATCCACGGGTCGAATGCTTAAGTATCCGAAGGGGAGCACATTGAAGGTAGAAAACGCGTTGATCCTTTCTTCCACGAAGGAAGCTCTGTAAGCCGATATCAGGCGTGATTCGGGACGAGGGCAACCGCGAAAACTAAATAGATACCGAAAACTTTTGTACACTTCCTTATCCCCGATCCGATAAGAGCGAAAATAACCTTCGCCATTATATCCACCCTCCTATCTCCGCGCAGAGTGGAGCGGGGCTGGAACGTTCTCCGCGAGACACCGCACCGCGGTGTGAGCTTCGCAATATCCTGCGTGTGACTCCGACGCACCGATAACAAGTGATCTCACGTTCGCTTATCGTTCGGTAAACCGAAAGGTCGATAAGATAATGCGCCTACCATCCTGAGGTGGGGTGATGGAACGGGTATGGGTGAACGATCGGGTTCCCGCGGCGGGAGAAATTTAAACGCGACCTTAGTTTCGCGCGCGTCACAGCACCGAAATTGCCAATTAGTCCGCTGTCCTGTCTTCGTGTTGGCCCGCCAACGCGGGAGCGGTCACTGATAAATAATTGGCAATCCCGCGCGAAGGTCGCCGAGCAGCCGGGATATTAGTGGCAGGTGATTTTCTCCCATTTGCACCGGCGAACGAGGTCCTGTCCAACGTTCGTGCCGTATCTCGCGAGTGTGTATTAACGTTTCGCCGCGTGTACCGCGTTTAGCTGGCTTCGCCGAAAAGTTTCCGCCCCCGGAAAGCGGCTTAAAATGAACTCCACGGGGCGACCCGTAAGACTCTGGCTATTGCCGTCACAGCAGAATGCGTCTGGTTAGTTAAACACGGAGCGTACGCGTGGCTGCGAAGCTTTTTGATATTACGCTGCCCGGTCGGGCGGATGTTTCGCGAACGAATATAGAATAACAGCCGCGGGAATACCACGCATGCGAAAGGAACTCACCGGAAGACGGGCTAAGAGGATTCTCCCGGTAATTGCATAAAAATTTGCGAGCACTTATACACTGTGTACCCTGCTACAGCGCGAGTGCACGATGTGACCGCGCCACGGTTAAACCGTTTCCACCTTGCCGCGCTGGAAACGAGCCATAGTTTTAAGTAATGGCCAGCAGCCCTTCTTCGGCTCGGGCTTCTCCGATTTACATTCTAATTTATTTCCGTTACATTTTCATTTCCTCTGTTGCAGGGTAAGCATCGCTGTGTCCGCCGAATCTCTTTCGCCGTGTCCACGAAGCGGTTGTCCAGCCTTCTCGGAGCTCACGTAAGCGAAATCGACAGATTTTCATCGCAACGCGCGATCGGACGTTGAGTCAATTCTTTTTTAAGCGTCACAATCGAAATTGGAAAGATGCATGGAACAGTCTCGATTCTATAATACATACTTAACGCGCTGACACGGTGGTTACGATTTATCACGCTTAAATACTCGTCCGAATTTGATTCAATTCCCGGAGTGTATCGATCATCGACGGGCCGCATAACCGCGGGCATATAACCTTTCGGAGTTGGTTTCGGTTCGCCTTGAGCCTCTCATTCGGGCCGCGTTTATACAAGCCGATTTCAATTTAGTTTTCGCAGTCTCGCGAGAATTTCCCAATCGCGTCGATTGAATAGCCTGGTTCCGGCTCTCGGTCGTACTTACTTGATCAAGGGTGCGCAACCGGCGGGCCCTCCGCCGGCAAGGTCCATTTTCCACGGTGCGGCCTCTGCTCCTATACAGACGCCCGGCGTTACGTGCCGGTCGTTCTGTTTTCATGCTTGCCGGATACATTCAAAAATGCGGAGCACCCGAAAAGGGAAAACTGCGCGGGAGACTTTCGAAGGGTCGGTCAAACGAGTGCCACGAGCACGGACCATTCAGCTGCGCCGTGCGATACCGGTAGTAATTGAACAGAAAATTCGACCTTGTTTCTGCGCTACAGTGGACTTTGCTTCGCAGTGACCCGGATTCGTTCATCATCGAGCGAGTCCCTCGAAATTGAGTTTCGATAGTAGCTATTATTAATGAATATTCTACTCGTGCCTCGAGGGAGGTAGTTGATTTAAAAGTATGATTAAATGGGTATCCTAAATATTGCCACTGAACGTTCTGTACACATGAATTTCATTTATTCGTTGTCACGTCGGCGTTTCCATATCGCGACGGAATTCAAGTGAATATTCTTCAGGTTACGTGGAACTTAAAATAATTCAAAACACTTCGCAACGCGACGCCGGGGAATTTCTTCTCCGGCGTCGGTCATTCGTTCCCAGTAGCTCTGACCGATGCCCTGGGAAACACCTAGTTCCATCTAATGCCTTCATAGATAGCCGGTAATAGCGTGGAAACAGCAGTTCGGCGTCTCTCTCGCGCACTTCCCTCGGTCCTCCTCCATCCTCCGGCGCCGCCACCGCCGCCACTTTGGTCGGAAGACGGGCAGGCGGCTTGTACGAAACGTTTCGTTCCATTGTTCTCGAATGGTGCAGCTGGTTCCTATATTTCCGCATATGCCGCTGTACATATTCCGTACGATTTCGCGCGGTATTGTGGCTCCGCCGACATGCATCTCAGCCGACGCGACGGTGTCGTGTCACCGAGATGCACACTCAGCTCGAGCACGTTAACCGTTCGCTTTGAGTCGCGTCGATGCGCCGGTTAGCCGGTGAAAGGACGTGTTTCTTATGGGGCTCTTGACCTGTACATAGGTCGGAGCGCCGTGAAAAAGGATATCAGTGTCGTGATTTCGGCGATCGACGCGATTAGGGGTCCGATCGTCGGTGGGGCGATCGTGCGGTTCGTTCGGTTCTCGAGAGGCAATTAAACTAAACGCAACGCGGAGGGGTCTGTGATAAAAATACTCGACGAACACCTACGCGGGACCGCCGTACACTTTGTCTAGCCGAGACAGATTTAGATTGTGTGCGGAAGATAAACACGATTTAAATGGATTAGCAGTACTACGCCAGGAATAAACGCGACTTAAGTGGATTAAGAGGAGCGGGACACGTTTTGTACCGGGTGATGCGTACACCCGATGATTTTAATAAAGCACGGAAATGACGAGAGCGGAATGGCTCTGGTTACCGAAATAGCGGGCGAGATGGTGGTTCGCTTTCTCCCTCTTTTATTTGTTTCCATCGACGATGGAAATGTTGCAGTTCGGTGTGAACGTTTTATCCGACGGCCGGATGAAAGCTTCGAAAAATAAGCGAACGGTAGAGTTTTTGGGGTGAGCCTGTGCTAAAATAAACGTGAAATTGTATTGTTCCAAATGAATAATAGAGTGGAACGATATTTATGCAAGCGCCGCGTGTTGTTTCGCTCTCCCCCTCGCGCCGCCGCGCGCGCGTTCGGTAATCTCGAATATTCGTACCGTGGTCAATGAACAATCAAATGCCGATAAAACGGTGAATAAATAATACAGTAATTTAAAGAGACCGGAAGCCGGCCGAGTGATCTGAGTAAACGGGACGCGCGGCAAATTGCCTGAAAGCTTCCAAAAATTGCTGGCATGCATTTTTCAAACAATCGGGTGGCCGAGATCAACGGTCGCAGTCGGGAATACCTAGAATAAACAACGCGGTATCGATAAACTCGTCGGGATAGTTTGTTCCGGCGGCCGTTGATCCTGAAATCACAATTTTAACGAAAAAACCGACACTGCCTACCTGCACTATCAGCTCCTCGTTCGTAATATCTCGCGCGCGGAGAGCCGACACGGAGTTAAATACCTTCTTCTCCATTGTTGGCAATAATATCCAGGCGACTCGTGTAAACAACGGACCAGCCACTCGAATACTAAATATCTCGATTTATATCGGAAATTGTATTTACATGCGAACCCGGTTAACGACCACGCTCGTCGGAACGCCGTTCGCTCGGAATTGATTGAACGATTCGCGAAATAGATCGAGCATCAATTTGTCCTTTTTGTGGGTTTTTCATTTCTACGAAATAATTGGCTGTGTGCAAAGCATATGCACCGCGCTGTCAGGGGACCCAGTTTTTCCCCTTCGCGCTCGGCGTCGTCCGCCTTCGAATTCGACGTTCATTGAAAGTTCACCGTGGCTAACGGTTTTTCTCGTTCCCGATTTGCGAATAACTAAATTCTGGTGAAATGTTCCGCGCTAATTACTCGTCCGAGAGCGTCGTTTGATATTCGAAAAATTAAAAATATAAATGTCGGATTCCTCTTGACACTGCTGGCAAAACACGCGCTGACAGAATCAAACGGTTCAAATTTTAATTAATTTCACCGCGTATCTGGAGCGGAGTGTGTAGACATCGTAATAAATTTTTCGGGAAAAATGATGGAAATTTAATTTTAGAGTAGATACTCCTACGTATATCCTTCTGTAAATTATGTAGGGCATTTCTGTGCACCCTGTTAATCAATAATTGACGAGCCCGACATGATTACGATACGGTAGACAGATAACTTTTCAAACAACCCGGCTGCGTCATAAATTTCACGGGAGCACCTCAGTGAAACTGCCGTACAACGAACTGAACGATCGCCGAAGTGCTCCCAGCGAACAATGCGTCTTTGGACTCCGCCCGCGTGATTCGTTTTCCAATAAAATTGAGTGCTGATTATCTTCGGACATCTCGTGCCGTAGATAGCAGCGACCAGCGCGCGGCAGCTCGATCGTGAAATTTTTCGGAATTCGCCAAGATCGTGGTCACTGGCCCGAATCATAGGAATAAGGCCACCCGTAAGAGCTTCGGTCCGCGGACGAATTATACCGTTATCTTCGCTGAATTATTTCACGATAAAAGGCTACTTCAACTTATCTCGGACTCGAGGATATTAATTCTAAAAAAAATTCCCCACTACATTGCTTTACTCTCCTTCGCCAGTTTTCGTGGCGTCCAATTCTCCAATTGAATCGGAATAAATCCTCGCGTTAATTGGGCCAAGACACCAAAGAGGAACGATCCGTCTAGTAACATTTAAAAAAAAAGAAAACTACTCCTAGCGAACCGATAGATTTCCCCAGTTCTCGTTGCCGCCTCTGGATTATTATTCGCGCCCAGCAGCTCGGGTCGAGGGCATTCGTTACCGTTAAACGTTCCCCGACCCGGCCGAAATCCGAAGATTGCGAGCGTTAAATCACCGTTCAGAAATTATTGCGGTACGCAAACGAAGTCGACGCGCCGTTATATTTCTTCGTCGACAGGAATAAATTTACTGGCGGGATGGGGGCGGTTGGTCGGCGGCGTAAGAAAACATTCACGATTGTTTATTGCGGCCAGATTTCCTTTCCGCGCCTCGTATCTTTCGCCCCGGTACGCATTCCCCGTCCACTCGGGTAAATAAGTGAGCAGCTTTCCATGCAAAAACCGACCCATTGTTTATCGAG